TATATTTTAATTTGAACGTCTTACGTAATTATTTTAAGAATCTCACAAAATTATTTTCAAATTTGTATCGAATTTTTAGATATTTCAGCAATATCATTTTTCCCTGTAGAGATGATAATTTTGTTTTCGATTTAGAAAAAAAAAATCAAAAATCTTTTTTCTAAAATACTTAAAAATTTGGCTATATAGAAAATCTAAAAATGATTTTGGCTTTCGAAATTATATGGAATACTTAAGCATGATGACAATATTGCAAAAATTTTATTCTTAGCAACCAATCTGAATCTTTTACATAATTATTTTGATGTAATCAATTATTTTCAAATTTGTATCTAATCAAATTTTTAGATACGTCAATAAAAGTATTCTTTTCTTCCGACAGAACGTTAATTTAAAAATGGTAATCGTGATCATTATTGCTGCTGTGGAAATAATTTTTCGCATTACAAAACAATTTCCAATTAACATATAAGAAAACAATTTTAATGTATGTGAGATACTTGCTTATTTCTTTTCTACATATTGAAAGATCCAAAATTTCCTTTTTAATAAATACAATTTTACTGCGTCATATATCTTTAAGAATAATTTGACGCGCAATTACAACGCAGGAAGCGTTTCAAAGTGTATTTGGCAAATACATTAATTACCGCTTTCAGACGGAAAAGGGGTTAAATATTCTAAAACTCCACGCGCGTCGCTTATAGACGGATGTATATATAACGTACACATACGTGAACGAGGTCTGGGGTAGTAAACGGTCAGTAAACGGTGCACAATCTCTCGTGTGGGTAACACCCTAGAGCTAAAGAGTGTATTAGCGTGTCAGATCGTTAGAGTCTACATGGTGTCAAGCGCATACATCCCGCTGTATGAAAATTTGCGGGGCGAGTATAGGTGAATTAATTCGTCGCGGACGAATATAACTTTCTCACCTTTTGGAGTCCCTCCCACGCTATAACGACGCATAATTACCATCCTACCTCGCCCCCTATTAATCCCCCATTTGTTAACTTGTTTATTTATCCACGGCGGTTTATTCTACGAAGCGCGGAAGTGAGAAAGACACCCTTTGCGCTTTGGTTTTATCCATCACTTTTCACCACCAATACACGCTTCGTCAAAAGATTGAGGCTTGATTTTTTTTATGGGAAATTTTGAGGGAAGAGTAGCTGCGCAAAAAGAGATAAAAATATAAGAGACGAGCAGGAGAAAAGAAAAAAGTTATAATTTTATTATTCTATTTCATACCATATGAAAATTCTTAATTGAATATGAATTAAACTTAAAAAAAAAAAAAAAAAGAGATTTGAGAGATTTCAAATTTGACTTCTGATTAAAATGGACTTTATTCTTTCAATAAGTTTAATTTGAGAATCATACTTATCAACTTACCCAATATTCTCAGGATTGCGAATTTTCAACGCAGAGCAGTGACGGTATATATATTTTTTATATTCTCCGTAATTGTAATTCTCGTATTAAGATTTCTTCTCCTCATCTCCTGCTAGTGAACTTTAATATTCGTTACGAAATTTCGTCGGTTTAGCCGGATTTCTATCAGCAACTGCGATCAAATTCACCGTAATTCGCGATGAATTGATTTCGGCACTACGTGCGTGTGAACTGTGATTGACTTCTGGTTAAACGCGTATTCTGCAATATTACAAGCGTTAGGTATAAATGCTACAAATATTATTGACACGCAATTGGGCGAGCGGCGAGTCAGCGCGTTACACCGATAAAACGAATCATGTAATTGATAGAATTATTAGTGTCGCGTTGAGGTCTCTAATGATGCCGGGACGTATATAACGTGGGTTTGTATACGTTTACGTTAATGATTTTATTACTTGTTTTGGCACTTAACGAGCGATCATCGTAATAATTCGCGGTGAAAGCAATAGGTTTAATCTGCAAAAGAAAAAAAAAACAGATATTAACAAAAATTTTAAGTATTGTTTTAGATTAATGATAAATCCTTTCCCTTCGTTTTTTTGTTGATTTAATAATCGATCATTCTTCTTTCAAAAAATTTTTTAATTTAAGACATACAGGATGTTACAAATATTCGTTAAAATGAGATAAGGAATGTCGCAATGCCAATAAAAAATTTCAATTGTTGTCACATCGAGATTCTGATATTTTCCACTCGGAACATCGGTTATAATGATATTGCGATAATTACTCTTTATTAGAAGCTCTTTATCCAACATCGCGATAGCGCTTGAACGTCCGCGATACATATATACCTAATTAATAATGATAATTAAACGCGGATGAATCGCGCTATTTCGAGCGGCGGAATGAAAGCTGCCTTTATTACAGAGCTCGGCGATTAAACGATGCGATTATGATCGCGGCCGCGTCCGCGCTTTGAATGGCGTTCGTGTAAACAAGTCTGCTCGACGAGCGCTTATGGTCGTGACTCCTTTCTCAATACGGCCGATCCCCGGCGATCTCGCTATAAAGCGGAAAAACACATTAACGCGTCAAAACCCGTTTTAGCTCGCGCGGTGTCAAGCGCACACGCCTGCCTCCTCCCTCGAGTGACCGGGGACGCCGGGGGATGCGTGCATCGAAAATATCCGCGTAAAACGTTTTCATGGGATATATTAAAAATAATAAATTACATTAAATTTCAATCTCTCTAGGTCGAGGGCCGGTATTAATGATGGCGCGTGGTGTCAAACGCACGCACCGCGCCCGGCCGAATGCGTTGCGTGCGCCGAATAAGATATACGTTGCGAAAGTGTCGAAAATTTTGCCCGCGTCATCCCGGCCCATCGTCCATCGGCGCGTGAACGTTTTTCCGTAGGGAAGGGAAAAAAAATATATATATATATATATATATATATATTTTTTGAGAGATGGACAAATTATGCGCGGCGAAAGAGCGAGCGGTACGTCCGCGTTTCATCCCCCGTCCGTCTGTAATCGTCGCGAAGAAGATCGAAACCCCCAATGTTTTATTATTCCAACGGAACGCCCGCGTTTTCCGTTTAGTTCCGCGTTTATTGAAGTCGCAGTTTTAATTAATTCGCAGAGATAATTGAAAATGAGTATCATATTAAATAAAATTACTTGTAACATATGACGCGATCCGTGATTTTTAGCGCGTTATTTAACTGTTCTCGATTTTTCATGCGATGATTTGGTTTCGAGCCCACTTTAGACAATCTGTAATTCGCGTTGGAATTCAGTTTAAATTTCTGTTTATAATTTTATACGTCGTGTAATATAAAAATCACTTTGGACGAATTATAAAATATGTTTATATGTATGAAATAATAAATATATTAAAATATGCGGATGTGTATCAGGATGCACAACATAAAATTAATAAATAATATTCTATCATGAAATCTGACACGAAATATAAATTGGCTAAAGTGGATTTTAAAAAATATCAACACTCGTTAAATACCACACACATTTTTATAATAAATCCTTATCACTAAAATTTCCATTTTTTTTCTATATAAATCCCTAACAGTTGGTAGATTCTAAGTATATTCAAAGGATCACAAAACAGTTATGTAGGACATTTAAATTAATTGCTAGAATAGTAAAAATTTTTACAATATTATTATCATCATGCTTAAGTAATCTTACATAACTTTTCAGATGGTCCAATAAAATTATTTTCAGCTCTGTATCTCGATAATTCTCAGATACTTCGATAAAATCCTTTCCACATAAGGAATTTTCCGTTACGTTATTTTCCGAACATTCTCACGCGTTAGGAATGTCTTCACATGAAACATATTTACTCGAGAAATATCATCACGATTTTCGATGATTTCGTACACGATGTGAGAGCGAAGAAGGGAGAAACGAAAAGCGCAATCGGAAAGCGAATTTGCGAATCGAACACGAGCGATAGCGAGCCTTTAAACGGAAGTGGCGTCCGCTTCTGAACGTTCGGCGAAACGTCTGCGAATTATCGAACATCACATCCCGCGGCATCAATCAGGGGCAGCGCGAAGTGTTGTATTCGTGTGAGCGGGCGCGGACCCCCCGAAGGTGGTGGGTCCGTGATGGTGTCAAGTGCACACCATCACCGCCGTGGCGGCGGCGGCGGCGGCGAATGAAAATTCGGAAAGCAGTTTAGGTAGATCAATCCGTGCAACCCCGGGGTCAACGATTCGCTTAAGGTAGAACGCGTATAATAAAGTGGCTAATGGAGCGGCTATGCGCGAGCGGGCGGGAAACGAGGGTGGGCGAGAGACTTTCGGGGGTGCGCTCGGTGTGCGTTTGACGTTGGCCTGTTCAGCGGCTCCTTAACGCGGGAAAGTAACGGTTTCTCTCTTCCTCGATTACGTACATTGTACGTATGATACTTTGAACGATGCACCGTATAAAATACATCGTTTCGTAATTCTCTTTGTAATCCTCTTTGGAGTTTATGCGGGGTGTAAATGCGTCGGAGAAATCTTATTTTAAATGGATAATATATACCAAGAATATCACAATTGTCAAACTGTTACTTTGACGCAATATGCATTGATATTAGAAATGTCGAACGATCATTTCTGATCATTTCTATTTTGTAAATTAATATTTTTTTCCTATATTAAAGATACTATTTTAGAAGAATTTCGAACTTTTCAATTACTCTCTTTATTCTGATGGAATACTGATAACAAGAAGATTTAAAATTCTGTTTTTGACATAAGAAAAGAATATTAATTTAAAAATAAAAATAATAAAAAATTATTGCTTCATACCTCTAATGTTAAAAAAAAAATCAATTTATATTGGAATTTTATATAATAGAAAACATTAATTAATTCGAAGAATTAATATATGTATAATCCTTTTTATCCCTTTTTAATTTTAAAAATTAAGAAAGAATAAAAAATAATAAGATTAAAATTAATGGACATTCATAGAAAAAGACATGAATCAAATTCTTTAAAAATGATATATACTTTTCTTTTTCGGAGTTTGGACATCCACGATTTTAATTGAAAACTAATGAGGGATTGCATTTGTAGGTAAAGATCTGGTTCCAAAATCGGCGCATGAAGTGGCGGAACAGCAAGGAGCGGGAGCTGCTGGCAACCGGAGGCTCGCGCGAGCAGACGTTACCGAATAAGAACAACCCCAATCCGGATCTAAGTGACGCTGACGGGGATCGACCGCGGATGGACCTAAGCGATGTGAGTCCGCTCACGAGTCCGCAGAGACCCGAGGAACAAACGGAAAATGAGGAGGACGAGGAGATCAATGTCACGTGATAAAGCTGACCGCTGGATCCAGCATTTCCCGTTCGCACTCTGACAACAAGTGGCGACAATTTTCTTAATCTGTGAACCAAATAGAATATACCGGCTGGACCAAAAAAAAAAAACAGATTTAAGCGAAATGCAAATTTTACGGGCTTTTGGGTCGCAGAAATTCATTCATGTTTACATTTGTTTTTCATTGATGATTCGCAGATACGATCTAATCAATTTTTTTAATGATGCAGATAACAAGCATTTTCTCTCGAGATATTTCGAATCGCCGCGCATGTAAAACAAATATTAACCAAGTCTTAAAGAAATGATTGTTAATTTTAATCATGCAATCTTTCCAGCTGGCTTTTTATTGGCGATTATATATGAATAATTTAACTATTTCAGCGACTGTTATAGATTTATAGCGTGAAGAGGATAATGTATTACATATAAACACAAATTACATGCTCCGTCTTACTTGGACTTCTTAATTTTTAATAATTTTGTTTAGCAGTCATAGTTTCCCTTCAAGATTTTTTTCTTTTCCGAGTTGATTTATGGTTTTAGTCTTTGATAGCATGTGTCGCCGCAAAATTGATTCCAAGCAAAAAGAAAACACGACGGAATGATGTATTATATTGTAATTAGTGCGATGAATGTACCTTCGAGGAGTCTTCTATAAGTCATTGTGTAAGGTTGTATTAGACGTAACATTACAATTCTGGAAATATGTATCTAAGTCCACTCATAATGCGGTCATGAGACCAAATCCAAATGTAATTACATTCATTGTGATTCAATATAATCTATGTAATATACTGAAATAAAACTGTCTATGCTAAGCGATTTACAGTTGTAATGTCAATGTGTATGAACGAACTTTCCGATGTCATCATTTCCGTTTCTCTCTATGAAAGATTTTAATACTAAAAAATTTTCCATTCTTCTAAATTTTCCTACAATTTCATGATTGAGAAGAATAGGAGTTAAGGAAATAAATTTATCACGTAAAAATTTATATTTTTCAATCCAGATTCTTAGATTGATATAATCATTCTTCACAAAAATAAACAGATTCCTGAACCAGATTGAAAGTACATTGTAATATAAGAAATAAAAAATTTACATATTAAAATGTAACACAATTACAGAAGAGTAAGATGCGATTTTTTTGCTCGCATGCAATCTAATAAATTATCATAAAGACTGCATGCTGAATAATAATTTATTAGACTGCATGCGAAGTAACACAAAAAAATCACATACCGTCGAGTTTCCTGTTGTATCTTCTCTACATTTTTTATATTTTACTTATACAGTAAATTTAATTATACATTTACATATTTATATATCTACGTGTGCCCAACTTAAAATATAAAAACTGGATTTGTATCCATGATGTACATTTAAGACTAAATGTGAAAAATAGAAAGTTTCATAATTCCACGTTTAGAGTTAAATGAAATGAACATTCGAGTCATTTTAATTATTTTGTGTTTGTGGTTTCGACCATTCAACGCTTAGAATAAGATGATCATAACCATAACCATCAAGAGTGGCGATCGCTCTTGCGGCATCAGCTCTGTGCTTGAAATGTACATAAGCGAATCCTTTGCAAAGATTGGAAAGTTTCTCTTTGGCCAAAAATTGCTTCACCACAGATCCGAAAGGCTTCACAAGTTCATCAAGATCCGCGTCTGTAGTGCTCTGTGAAAGATTGGAGATACGAATAGCGGTCGTATCATCGCGTCTCTGCATCTGCATCGAATCGCCACGTTTATTGCCACCGTCACGCATACCAGGTGGCACGTACTTGCCACCCTGTGGTTTAAGTTCAGCCATTGCACCAGGTACTCCCGTATTAACGAGAGGTTTCTTGTCGTCTGGTACTTTTCCTGAAACGAAGTTTTAGCAATTATATAATTTTACAAAAGAAAATAATATATATTTATTATAATTTATTTACATAACAATAATTAAAGTTTAATTCGTAGTTATGATCTTTCGTAGTTATGATTGACTTTCGTAGTATAACTTACCACCAGCGAGAACCGTGTCCTTGTAAGGACATTTGGAGGTCCAGTGATCACCATTGCAGTTACGGCATTTGACGACTCCTTTGTCGCCCATATTTTTCAATTTGTCTAGAGAATCTTCTTCTACCTTGTTCTCCTCTTCTTTGCTAGATATGAATTGCATGAAAACATCTTCACCACCAACAGTGGTAGCTGGGTTGGGTCCTGGCCTATCGTCAGCCGAATCGCCAAACTTTGCCCAATTCTTACGTGCCGCGATCGTTTTCGATACTATACGCCGCTCTATTTTATAAGTACGCACTACTTTAACTTTTTTGTTATCCTGATTGTACTTGTATTCAGTTGAAATTTTAAATCCATTCTCGTAGACTTCTGAAGGTGCGGGTAACGCTCCTCCCTCCTCTTCAACTTCATCAGCCCAACTGGACTTGACTTCATTTTGCGCAACTGGCATCTCTGCAAATGGCATAATATTACACAATATTTTCACAATATTTTCATATATAATTACTCTTAAATGTATAATCATTTAAATGTATAAGCAATATGTGTAAACATCAAGTCTAAAGAACAATTATTTTTTTTCATGAAGATATTAAATATTGTAATCAAATTATATTCAAATTTATTCTGTTATATTTGATTATTTATATAACTAGAAGACAAATTTAAAACTCATTTTAGATTATCTATAATCAGAATAGAAGTTGTTTATAATTTTATATGCAGCATAATAAAAAAAATTTGAAGAATTAAAATGCATGTGATAGTACATATATTATATAAAGCAGTATAGTTTACGATCTACAGTTTTAAATTCTGAAACTTATGTGTATTGGTATAAATCAATATATGTTAATTTTAAGCTCAATTAGAAATCTTGGGTAACATTGATATAAAATATCAATATGACATATTATAAGATAAAGTATTGTAAAATCTAGTGAAATCATAGATCATCGGAAGAGGTTTTAACAACAAAATGTCTAAATATTCCCTTAAAAATTTCAATGCTTTGAAATCAAATATCAAAGTAATAAGAATAACTGATGTTTTACACATTAGTTACACTAATATAATTATACTTAACCCGTTACAGGTTTGTCAGTCATCTGATTTTTATAATAAATGAAATGCTATTAGCCAGAAAATGTCGAAACAAATTAGACGCTGAAACAAATTAGACACAAAATTATACGATACTCCACACCTTTTTATTACAAACATTAATAATACATTTAACTCAAACATCCCTCCAGAGGTTAAGTCTACGGAATCATAACATAATATCAATTAACTAAAAAGAAAATTCACAAACAACAAAAATTTTTCTTAATAAGCATATTTTTGTTGTTACATTTAAATTTTATATCAACATTAAACATATTACAAAAATGACTATTAAATAGACTAGACGTGGGCTACTTAACCCGTTAACTTATGTTACACAAATCGCAAACTCGACATAACCTATTTTGTGTTAAGTTAGTGATCAAAGATTCGTAAAAACGTGTGACTTATATCTCACTCGTTTGTCGATTTTTCTGAGCAATTTAGAACCTGATAGAAGAAAGTATCAAAAAAAGTACATGTTACATTATCGTTGACGGCTTATTCTGTGTTAAATCTGCTTGAAAAATACTATATTCAAGAGATCACTGTGACAAAAGACTAAAATTCATTGATATCGTTAACTTACCACGAAACTACGCTAACAGAATAATAGAATTATCCGAATCAGATGCAATGCAAGAGGTAACGAAAAACACGAAATACTGATACGATTCACACGAAACGTGGTAACGTAAATCAAAATGGTGGAACCATAGAAGCCGCGGTACCGCGATACAGTTACAATCTGGACTACGTCCAAAATTCTCTCGATGAGTAAAGTAACGTTTAATTGATCAATCAGAACAAAGATTTTTTAATTCTGATTGATCAATAAATGTTACTTTACCAATCAAGTAATATTTATGGCCTTTAGGACTTTTGCACACAAGAAAACTCAAGCTTCTATAATACGTCGCAAGCCGCAAACCACAAGAATTGACCAATCACAGACGAATGTAGGAAGAATACTTGATTGTGATTGGTCCATTCTTATGACCTACGACTACGCACCGACACACGATGCATTGTAGAACAGGCCTTAAGAGGTAAGATGTAAGCAAAAGAAAAGAGATTAATTACAATCAATCATTTTTCTATCTAAGAAGAACAGTCAAATGTGATTGGTTATTTTTTTACTGCATATGCTTAAGCTACTTTTCTGCTGACGTTCCGATTTATAGTCTCGGTTTATAATAGGTGATTTAAGCCTTAAGCTATAAGAAATGGACGAATCATAGTCGAAGAATAGAAGAATAATCGACTATGATTCAATTTCTTATGGCTTAAAGCATAAATCACCTATTGTAGACCAGGATTTATCGCTCATCGTTCGTCGCGTTCAGTGTGCGAGAGCTATTAGTGTCAAAAATGGGTCACGTGATCAAAAATGACAGAATAGTGAAATAGAAATAGTTACTTTTGACCATGTCATTTATTTTGACGCAGAAGATAAGCGTCGAGCATCAAGCATGAAAAGTCACTCCTTTACCGTGTAATTGTAAATTTTTTTGTGCGCAGGAGCCCTTATTTTCTATATTCATGTACTGAATGCACCCAATGGACTACGTCCATTATTGGATTTCCACCATTACTGTGCGTCGTATATGCGAGAAAAAAAGAGCGTTCCTTAAGAACAACACCGTCGTCGTGTTGGCGAACCTGCCGGCCGCCGCGAGGTCGTAATGGCGACGTCTAGCGCGTTGTCGGGTCCGCCGTGAGTGAATGATGAATCACAAAATAGTGTTCGGTTTTCATGTACGGAACGACAATCAAACGAGCGGACGTTGCGTGCATTTATCATTTTAACAGTGCATCTTTGACGTGACCGCCGACAGTTCAGCGTCCCCGCCAAGATGGATCAGGCACCCGCAGGTGAGCACGCCGATCCGGCTGCACGAGCGCTCTCTTTGTCTCTCTCGCACGCGCGTTTCCTTCCTCGCGCATATCCCGCTCTCACCCGTGCATATTAATTAATAATCTGCATCTTCACAACAAGTACGATGTAAAGTAAAATACGATGTAAAGCTTTTTTTCAACATCTTTCTCTTTGTCCCGTCCATGTCGAGCGGCTAAAATATTAGCGGCTTTTAAATCGTTGCTATCTGGAATCGCTCCCTAGGTTACTCGTAAAATCTTCATATGAGATATCAATTTTTCATATCAACGTATATTAATATTAGTCTTAATTTGATCTTTTATCTTTTTTTAGTTTTAAAAATTAGAAAAAGAGAGCGTTACACGTGTATCTCAAGCGATGTACAGGAGTACATAAAAAAATTAAAGAAGATTACGAAAAATTAATATAATGTTTACTGTGTGTATCAATTTAGAGATACAAATCAATTTTGCTATAACTTTTTTTATTAAAGATTATTGTTTGTATGATTATTACAAAATTGTATATATAAAATAACTTTATCTGTATTTTGCAACTTTTAGGTCAGTTTTAAATTTAAGCATCTTTCAATTGTTTTGTAGCAACATGCAAACCATGAAGTGAACAATTTAACTAGATTAGTTGTGTTATATTAAATTATATGTAGATTATATGTAGATTATAATTTGTTGCATATTAATTTGGATCTGATTCTTGTTATTTCTGCTTATAACATTCAGATACAGAATTACGGAACATCATAGACAAACTGGCACAGTTTGTCGCTCGCAATGGACCAGAGTTCGAGCAGATGACAAAAAACAAGCAGAAGGACAACCCGAAGTTTGGTTTCCTGTTTGGGGGGGAGCACTTCAACTACTATCAGTACAAAGTGACTACAGAGCAAGCCAGTAAGTGGGACATACCCCGTTAACAGCTACAGTGATTAAGAAGCATAAAAAAAGACAGGCCATGCTTTATACAACCAGCAAAGGAATGACTTTGAAAAGCAATACAGAGTCTGATTCGCCATCATTGCAAATGTACAAAATGTATTATCCGTCGAATAGGAACAATCTTCCTCTCAAGATTTTGGGATTGCTATTTGTTAAGCAGAACACTTTTATACTAAAGCCATCTTGCATTCCTTGACAATGGCAATTTTAAGAAGACGTAGTTTTAAGATTCTTGCTGGAGTTTATCTAACGTGAGGTACATTGTCGATGCATTGCTTCAATCTGTGTGGGAAATATGACCCATCAGCCAAAATAGCGTGCCCTGTAATATGTCCTAGTACTCTAAAAATGTCAGGAAAAAAAAAAGAAAAAAAAGAAAGGAAAAAAAGAGTATAGTGCTCCCAAAAGATTTATCGAATTTTCTGATACTATACTTCTTTCGTGTAAATGTCCAAGAATTTTTATATACGCACCGGTAGAAGATAAAACTTCGCAGAAAAAAAAAACACTAAAAACATCTCTAAGAATCAAACTATTTGTATAAAAATTTTTCAAATATCGATTGACAAGGACTCAGCATCTCACAATAATCCACCGTCATTCGTTTACAGTTTTAAAGCAAAAAGGAATAAATCCAATGCAAAATGCAGACCCACGTTTAAACGTTTCGCAGCAGCAGCAAACAGCCGCAAACGCCGTCTCGCAGCCACTGAATAACGTCAATCTTGCGTCCGGTCTGAGTACACAAAACAATGGAATAAATCCGGTAGTTGGGATCGGACCGCAAGTCGGAAGCCAGGGCGGTCCCGTTTTGCCTGGACAGATCGGAGGCCCGGGAAATGCAGGACCGCCGATTGGACCGGTTTCCAGCGCCATGGGAGCTGTGAATCCGCCGATTGCCGGAGTCGCGCAAGCAGTTAACATCGCGGGTCCGCCCGCGTGGCTGCAGAATGAGTTGGCGAATCTACAATCGCAGCAGACGACGTTGCAGGAACAAGTGAGACAGTCAGAACAAAATCTGGCTGCGCA